TTCGAAGTATGGCGGTAAACTTACTGATATCGTAAACAATCAGAGCTCCTTGGGCTCCACGATAGTAAGCGGATGTGACGGTTTTGAATCGTTCCTGACCAGCAGTATCCCAAATTTGAGCCATTATCCGCTTATTGTCAATCTAAAACACTTTGGAAGAGTACGGAGTTACTATTCGAAGAAAACTTATGATTTGGTTGTGATTTCACGTGTTGCTGTTTACTAGCTTTTTACAATGGTGCAGACTTTAACCTTCTCTTTTTGACTTGCATTTAGAATAACGCGCGGTCGTCGTTCTTAGGAATTAGGATGCTGCTGAGTTTTGAGCTTTTTTGTAAATGTTTTTGTTTTTTTTCGTGACGTTGAGCGAGGGGACCGCTCGTAATCGTCGACAAAAGTCCCCTTCTTCAACTCTCTCTTTTCTTCGAATGTCAACATGAAATTGCAATTTTAACGCAGCCGGTGGTTGCGATAAGCAAGTGATGGTTATAATTGAGACAGTATTTTTTTGAACGCAACAAATCAAAGACCAAAAGCATCCACTGCACAATACATGCATTCTATGAGATACTGTTGATAAATAAAAAGCTCTACCAAAAATAAGGTTAGAAATTGAAAAACTAGCTTTTTCATATCCTATTGATTCAATTAAAGAGAAATCGCGTGCCATAAAAACAGAAGTTCATGCCATTTTCACCCTTGCATATTCTTCACAGGTGGCTGAGCCGCCTCAGGCGGGACAGCAAAGTATACCAAAGCCCTATAAACCATTTAGTACGGTGAAAAGCAGGAAAGTAGCAGTGCTAGCTTAGCTCCCTATTACTAGCTGTTGAATAGGGCCGGTCCAACATCCTAATCATCATATACGGTAGCCAACTGACACCCTTCGCCTGAAAAGAGGTACTACTACCACGCGCCCAGCTACACGTGTTGCGAAAGCTGGATCAATCATTTCAGACCGAATTCTCTTCAAACCGGCTCTAACAGCTCACAACGAGAGCTTTCCGAAGACTCTCAGCGGTTTCGGTTCCTACTTTCGTAATCAACCCTATAATCTTATCAAAACACCGAGGTTCTCGCTCCGAAGTTGCACGAAAAGTCAATCTCTTCCATGATGCTGCTAAGACTTCGTCACTGATAAAAGGAGCACCATTGCCTTTGTCCTCTCTACTGAGTGCCTTAGCCAGTGCATAAAACTGTGATCCACTGGCGCATTTTCAGCATCGAAGTGTCCTCATGTACGGTAAATCTACTTTCATTGTATCGCAAAAGTTAAACATAAAGAAGATGAAAGCTTTCAGAGCTGAAAGTTCAATTTTAGTATCTTGTCCAAGACATGATCGCATATTTGGGTCAAGAGGACCTGACTCAACACAAAAAAAATCCGAAGATATATCGAGAAAACCTGAAGTGCTGAGTCCTCAAAATCCAAAAGCATGCTCAACCCAGGAAGTGATTATATCATGCTATTCGCCGATGCTTTAAGTCTAGGAGCTTACCATAACAGTTTTCGTTGAAAACTCAACACCGATTGTCGATTTTGACTCGATGTTGAACATATTCCTGGCAAACCGCGACAATAAATTTGATTTACCGACACCAGAATCACCTATCAGAATTACTGAAATATACATAGTTGTCAACAGATCCTTTTATAGTAAAAACACTTGGTTCAACCAACTCTTATATAGAAAGTCGTATCCATCTATATCGGCATTGTCAACCATTACTGGAACGAATACTGAAAAAGGGCAGTGCGGTGAAAGTATCTTACTCGAAAAAGTTTAGAACTGTTATTGTTGTAGAAAAAGAGGTTCTAGAGGGATGGTTGCATAAAACATAGTGGTCTGCGTAATCATTTCACGATAAGTTCCCATCGATTCCGCTATTCCACTTCTTATCATGTGTGCAGTCGCATGCTTTGGTCAATATCGCGGACAGCGAATGGAACTATCTCTATGAATCAGAGCTCTTGAGTATCGACTCTCATATTTTCGGTTGATTCCATTGCCAAACGATACCCCTCCCTTCACTTGTTCTTTGAGATTTCCCACATTAAACTAAAGCGGCAATAAAAAAAGGAATCTGCAAAGACCACTAGTCATGTTTTTTCTAAAGGGCATGATTAAGTTGTTATGACATGCCTTTTAAAATTATACGTATGACAGTCACCAATGCGCCGAGTGTATCAGTTTTCAGATGTACAGTACGTCTCCAAATGATACGGCCACCTCTGATTTTCCCAAAAAATCACTGTATACGACGTTTCTAAAAAAAGCCGAAGTAAAAAATGTGTCAAATCTTAGTCGCAATTCGCACGCTATCGCCGAATTCCAGCTCGGAAGTACAAACATTTTTTT